ACACATAGTGAGTCTGAACTGGCCAAAGAGCTCAGCCTTCCTGGCCTTTAAATACTATAGTTGTTTACAATACTTTAAACCAAAAACATGTTTATTCCATAATTTCTATTTCTTATCCTATCTTAACAGATCGTCTCTATTACATCACATCTTGTTTACATCTTTGCTTATCTTAGAAAATCACACTTGTTTCGTGCTAAAATACCTCAAAACATGTTTACCTTTTATCCTTATCTATTTCACACATTTTCTAGCTTAGGCACCTTTCTTCATCACAACGTGTTTACTTCAAACTCTCCTGTCCTTTGTTTATTTCAAACTCTCCTGTAATTCTCCTGTCAGTTGGGGAAGAGGAAGATGGAGAGGAAGGGTAGGAGAGTTCCTGCTCAAGGTCAGGCAGGGAATTTATGGCCATCACTTGAGTTTCTTATCCGTTCAATGAAGGGGTTTGAGTAGGTAGGTGTGCCCCAAATTTGCCTTCTGTGAACCACCTTCAGGATTCTCCTGGTACCTATGTGTTACCATTCATTCACCAGTTATTTAATTTTTTTTTTTTTAACTACACGACTGCAGTGGAAAGCATTAAAATTCTTATTCACCAGTTATCTTTAACTACACTTAATTATTGGGGTAAAAAATACATGCAGTTTACTCTTAATCAGTTTAAAATGTGCAGTTCAGTAGTGTTAAGTGTGTTCACATTGTTGTGAAATAAATCTCCAGAACTTTTGCATTTTACAAATCTGAAACTCCATTGCCAATTGGACAACTCCCTTTTTCCTTCTTTTTCCAGTCCCTGGCTGGTAACACCACTCTACTTTCTGTTTCTATGAATTTGACCACTTTTGTGTCCTGCATATCATTAGAATCATGCAGTATTTGTCTTTTGCAACTGGCTTATTTCACTTAGCAAAATATCTTAAATATATTCAAAATATATTCAGTATCATCTTGTAGCATGTTGTAGCATGTGACAGACTTTCCTTCATTTTTAAGTCTAATATCCATTGCATATATGACATTTAGTTTATTTAGTTCATTCACTTTTTTTTAATTAGGTGTTAATAGACCTTTATTTATTTATATGTGGTGATGAGGATTGAACCCAGTTCCTCACATATGCTAGACAAGCAGTCTACCACTGAGCTAAGACCCCAGACCCAGTACATTCACTTTTAAAAATAATCCTCTTAGGGTAAAGGTAAACTTACCTTAAAATATATTTTAAAAATATATTGTTATTGAAGTTTGCTGTTACATTCAGAAAATGTGTTCATAATACAGCTTGCCAAATTTACACAAACTCAACATGCCACTCAGCCAGCACCAGCTCAGGAAACAGAACCCCAGGAGCCCCCTAATGTCTCTCACCCCCATGCCCAGGACAAACCACTACTCTGATTCCTAACAGCACAGAAGAGTTTTACCTTTTGAAATTTCAGTTTAGTCTCATTCATATAATATATATATATTAGTTGTTGATAGACCTTTATTTATTTATATATGGTTCTGATAATTGAACCCAGTGCCTCACACATGCCAGGCAAGTGTGCTACCGCTGAGCCACAGCCCTCATTTTTAATCATTAATCTCTGAAAGCACTGCTTTGTTCTAGATATTTTGCCATATGTATACATATATACACAACAATTGATGTAGATGTGATTTTTTGTGTACCACCTATAAACGTTCTTCAAGAAGCCATCTTCCATAAGTACCACCAAAGATCTACACACCACATTTAGTGAGACACTGCATTATATAGTCTTTCCCAAGTTAAAATTATGTGGCTAGGTTTCAAGAAATGATTTCTTAAATAACAGCTGGAATCTAATGTGGGGCTGCTCACAGTCTGGTCCAAGTTGCTAATGAGGAAGAATGTCTTGGTTGAATGACTCTGCAACCAAATATCTATTATTTATCCAGCAAGGGGACTCAGAGGTCAACAAGGCATGATCTCAGCCTTGAACATACAGTGGAGAGGAGAAAATGCAACATCATACTGTGTAATCATAAATGTGGATGAGTATGAGATAATTCAGAGTGGCGGAGGGAGGTAACAGTGCTTGGCATTTAGTATGTATTTCTTCTACAGCATGTTCCATTCTGTTTTAATTAGCTTGTAAACATTTTTCCTGCCTGGGTTTGGAGGCTCAGGAATGTCTTGTTTGTTACGTATAGCTCACAATCCTTGGCACACTGCCAGTTCAGATCAGTAAATGTGTCCATATGCTCCAGATGGCAAAGGGCAATTTTTTATAAGAAGTTAGGAATAGTCCAAAAGCAGATGCTATTAACACTGATCAGGTTCTCTAGCAAGGAGAGGAGATAGTATCTCTCAAAATGTAGTCCTAAGACTACGTGAGAGAATTAATTACATGTCATTTTCCTGGTCTCCATCCCAGACCTACTAAATTAGTCCTAGGGGATTTGTCCAACAAATGCCATTTAGGTGTCTCAAGTGATCCTATTTGAATCAAGATCTGTGAACACCACCGTGAGGTATTTGGGCCTATTTCTGGGCAGAATCACCTATCCTGAGCAGTGGGGTTAAGGCTGAGGTGGAGGTAGCTTCTACAGGTCACCAGGGTTGATAAACTGAGTCAGAGGTAGAAAGAGGTCACTGAAAGCTTCGGAACCAAAGATCCTCCAGATGTCCTGCTGGAGATCTGTAATCAGACGTGAGTATCCCACAGTGCAGTGGATGATTGTAAAACAACAACAAATAAAAACTTGCTTTTTGCCCATTTTAATGAGGTAATTTTAATAGAAGTCTTTTTTTACTTCTTTGTATTCATGTGCATTATTTAAAGCTTTTCAAAAACATTTTTTTAGTTGTAGGTGGACACAATATCTTTATTTTATTTATTTATTTTTATGTGGTGCTAAGGATTGAACCCAGGGCCTCACACTTGCCAGGCAAGTGCTCTACCACTGAGCCAAAACCCCAGCCCTATTTAAAGCTTTTATATACTTAGTTTTTTTTTTTTAAGATGTTGATGGATCTTTATTTTCTTCACTTATTTATATGTGGTGCTGGGAATCAAACCCAGTGCCTCACACATGCTAAGCAAGTGCTCTATCACTGAGCCACAACCCCAGCTCCATATATACTTAGTTTTTAAAGTACATTTTAGATGTACATTTGGATCAAACTTTTGAAAAAAGGAATTAATAAACTATGTGGACAGGGCATGGTGGAGCATGCCTATAATACCAGCAACAGGATGATCACGAGTTTGAGGCCAGCTTGAACAATTTAGCAAGACCCTGCCTCAAAATAAAAAAATAAAAAGGGCTTGGGGGTGTAGCTCAGTGGTAGAGCCCTCTCGGTTCGATCCCTCATATCAAATAGCAACAACAAAAGTCTGTATGGCCTTTTTTTTTTTTTAACCTTCATAGAACATAAGGGAATATTTAATGAGCATTAATAAGCCTGATTTCCAGCTCTGATCTTTGTGGTAGAAACTAGTCTAAATGTTGTGTATATCTGTAAATCAACAACACAGATAACTATTTAATGTTAAAAATGAACTGTTTGTTACCTGTTGGTTTAAGTGATACTGCAGTGGCTTTCAGCTTTCAACTTTCAGGTGTGTTCAGTGTGCCTTAGAAATGTGCTGTCAACCTTGAACAATAGGT